ACGGGACTGCAGCCAACCATTTAGCAAGAGACCGACGATGCTGCCCAGGTTGTTACCGTTGCCGATAGCCGCTTGCCACGAAGCCGAAATGTGTTGGTCCCCATTAGCGTCGGGCCAACCGAATTTGTTAAGGTAGGCGTTTTGGGCGAAAAAGTTATTGATGAGCCCAACATCCATACCCTCCATGACGAGAGCCAAGCTTAGCAGCATGCTGTATGTCGCTGCTGGCCAGTAGCGCGAGAAAAGTTCTTTGCGAGCAAGTTTGCCCTCTTTTTCACTTGCGGCAGCGGCAGCCTCGATGAGAGCGACGTTCGGTGTGTATGACCCATACTCAGCGCGGTCGGCAGACTCGGTCTGTGACTTTTCGTTATCTGCCATCGTATCTGTACGGGAATAGGGTAATATTTGTGCTAGGGATTGGCGACGGGAGAAAACGTGGGTAAATACAAGAGGAACGAGCAGGAGAGGGGGGGATGCACAGGAGATAATAAAGAATTTGTGCTGCCACGTCTATTATCGGTTCCGATGGTCTGGTATCTGCCATTGCCAAGTCGCCGAAGATGTGCCAAGAATCTGCCATTAACCCTTCTTTCCAAGTTCGTCAGGGAGTTTGGAGCTGTATTCGCAGGAGCCCGTCGGTTGCTTACATTTCCTCATGGAGTCCACGAATCAGTTCTAACTTCTCTCTCATCTTCAGCTCACTCTTTTTCGAATCACACGATCTCAGGCCCGAGCCAAATTGCCGAAGACCGCCATGTGATTCTTCCTCCTCTTCATCTGCTCTAGGCAGGAAGTGCAGCAAGGTTCGTTAACCAGCATTCATATTAGCTCAGTACCCCCATGCAGATAATACCGGGGTTCAAGATGCCTCTGGGGCATCTTGAACTGTAATCGCGGGGAACAGGCGGGGAAGCATCCTCTAGACCAATGATATCAAGCCTGGGTCTGACCATTGAGGAGCCAGTCCATCGAGGAATGTTGGCCAGAACGCCGGCATTTCCTGTTGGTCGCCAGTTTAGTTGAAGTGGCATGACCGGCACATTTTTACACATTACTTGATGTTTGCAGGTCTTCCAAGTAGCCTATCCCTTGTCATCTGACCTTGTTCCAGTTTGACGGTCACTTGTTCATGGGCCTAGAAAAGGAATAATGTGCTACGCGCGACGTGTTTCCCTTTTGTTTATTTCACCTGCTTAGTTTTGCCTCACTGTTATCGAATGTTTATTTGCAGCATGATCATAGGTCTTTCGTGCTGATACTGGAGTGTTCATGGACATTGAGTCACTTTGGAAAACCCAAGTCCATCTGTGCTGGAGCAAAAGTCATACATCCCATGTGCCTGCATCTCGTCTCTATTTACCGCAAGCTTTGCCTGTTATTCTCTCCATGTATTGGTCGCCCAGTGCACTGCCCAGTCTTGGCTTCAAGTCCTCTTTACCTGATGATTCTGCAATCTTACGTCGGTTAAGGTACTTCACGCGCCCACTGACCTAGTCAATGACCTAGCCATCTGAACACAAGACCTGGGTGCTCGGTTACCAGCCAAGAAAATAGTCACAATGTCTAGGCTTGGTAGCCCACAAGGGCCTCATTCCACCACTCAAAGCTCATAAAACCCTACCACTATATAAACAGCTTGGTTCGAAACAAGAAGTTATCCCCGGACCCTGGCTCGGGTCATCATCCAAGTTCAGACATGAAGGATGACCAGAGACAGCTGCCAAGACCAATGCAATGTTCGTTGCAGATGGGACCGGGCTCTGGACCAATTTGAATCATCGTTCACTAGGCTGCATAACAAAATCGTTCAATTTCCACTGCAATCGCAGGTACGGATAGTCATTGTCGACTTCTGGAAGCACCGTTCAGTGAATTGCCATAAATCATTTGACTTCCCGCCTTCTTTTGATGTACGAAGTTTGAAATTATTTATTATTTTCCTTTTAATTTCTATTTTCATGATTGCTAAGTTTCGATGGCCTCGTTCATACTTTACTGGGGAAGCCTGGGATAAGTGAGTATCCTGAGTCTATGTTTTGGAACAACTCATCAAGTTTGGGCCAAGTGCGCTAATGAATTACCTGCCTGTCGATACTAGACTGGACTACGCGGCCTCTCATTTCACCTTGGAACAAAACACGGCATCTCTATGAAATTGGAAATTTAAGGCTGTATATCTCATCCCTGGTAACATATGACGTGTTTTATCTAGGTTTCAGCTTTGCTGTGACATTTGCAGGCCGTTTTGGCTGAGACAGTGATGCCAGTCAAACTTCGGGCGCCTTTATATTTGCCTATATAAATCGTCATTCACATAGGTCAGACTTATTAAGCAAGTATCTTCGCTGGCCAGTAACAAAAACTTCGGTTACTACTTCAAATGCCTAAGTTTATACAAGCGTATTTGCCTTGAAAGCATACATTGAAGCTGGCTTAGTACAGGTTACAAATACGAAAAGAAACATTCAATGACTTTTCACAGCAAGTTAGCGGGCTTGTTATCTATACCTGCTCTTTTGGTCTCAACAAGTAACACAGAGCGCAACTTGTTTCTTTCTGTAACAGCAGAGTATCTCCCTTGTTGCAAACTCGGATCGACAGCTACTTCTCTCCGCTGGATGAAGCATATCTTCGAATTCCGAACGTTTTCTTTATAGAGTAAGTCGTCTGGAGAAGGTGAAAGCTGATATCTGCCATCTTTCGGGTTTCCTATTTTCAAGATTATATTTACAGTTCAGAATAAACCTGTATCAACGAATAACATCTTCCGAGATTTCAGATCATCACCACCACCACCACCACTTCTATTGATACCTTGAGAATCCTTCTCCGTTGAAGCGGTGAATGATTCACGTATTCATGGGAGATGAAGCCGACGCTTTGCTCCTCGACAACTTATATCCGCCGTCGCAACTGTAGCCCAATTCCCTTTGACGCCAAGGCGTTGATAAGCTAGTCCTGTCACAGAGTTGCCACTAAACTGGAGGACGTATCCGTCGTCCTGCTTGTTACCGAGCTCAGTTGATGTTGCCTCTACAAAATCTGGAAGTGCAACAACCCTGTTCGTCCCCTCTGTGAGATCGAATGGAGCGCCGGCCTGTGAACTGACGCGGACGACAAATTGAGTACTAGAGTTCCTATTTCCAGAGCAGCCGACATTGAAATCGATAGGACCAGTGTTCTTAGGAAGAGGTTGGTCAAGTGGTGTCAAACTCATGCTAATGGCAGTGTTGGAACCAAAGTAGATTGCTGAATCATTGAGAGCCATTCGAGTGGTGTAGATGGAGCGGGCTTGCATAGTATCGTTGCGGGCATGGTGTACGTAAAACAGTTCAGCACCTTCCAAGTCCTTTCGAGTGACATCCTGCGCGCCGAATATGGCATTTGTGTCGGCAGGAGGAGACGTCACAATGCTACCGTGTCCCGGAGAGTAGATCGGACTTTCTCTGTCGGGTGCCTGAGAAAGCACGGGGTTCTGTGAAGACTTACGGAATGGGCCCAATGGTGATTCCGAGGTCGCGTAACCCACGCCGTAGTTTGACGCTTCATAGTTGTTGGCGCTGTAGGTCAGCAGGTAGACCGGCTTGCCTTTGGTGCCATCGCGGGTGATGATTGTGCTGCCTTCTGACCAACGCCTATTTTTCTTTGTGCCATTGAACTTCACGTAATCATTAACATTAAAGTTCTCCCAGTCCTGCGGGTCTGCACCATAGGATATGACGGTATTCCAGCCATCCTTTCGGGGAGGGTTCCCGATAAGTCCGGTGCCATTGTAAGCTGTAATATTGTTTGGGAGCTCCGGTGCATCATTGGCATGAATGTTGATTTGCGAAGACGCTATCTCTGGCATTGTCCTTGCAAAAGGATCATCCCACCATGCTCGGTCCATCTCGACAACAATGATGTTGGATTCTTCGATATATTTTCCCAGGTCTTTATCCCAGTTCCAATTGCGGTACGCGTTTCGTGATGCATAGAGATAGATGCGCCCGTCTTTGTCAAAGAAAATGTTAGGGTCGATTGTAGGGATGTAAGTCCCCTTTGGCGCTGTCGTGCCTTTTTCTTGGGTGCTTGGCGGCAGCATTTGCTTGTCATCCATAATGAGATTGACATCATGATAACCAGGGTCGAATGGGTAGTAACCGATTGGCTCAGATTTGATCTCCACGAATGGTCCTGTGGGTGAGCGGGAAACAGCTATGCCCAGCTTCGATGGCTCCTCAAAATTGGAATATCGAAAGTAGTCTTTGGCAAGATCCTTGCGCAGACGGCCGGCGAAGATGAAGAAGTACCATCCTGTCCTTTCGTTGTAGTAAGTCTCGGGGGCCCAGTACCAGTCTTGAGCCCAACAGGCCTGGCCGCCGTCTAGGCGATTCATTTGATCGTCGTAGCATGCCTTCAAAGCTCCGCCGGGATGTTTGCGCCACGTCGAGAGGTCTGGGCTGACGTAAATAGCGAAGTGAAAGCCCTCATCCGAGCCCTCGGAGGAATACGCATAGTACTGTCCACTTTGAGAGTCGTAAAAGACGTATGGGTCTGCAGCTGCATGGAGCGCCGCGTTGTGAAATTGAGGGCTCGAACAATCATCATTCTTGTTATCGGCTACGTCGGCCAAAGCATGTGAGGCGAACAATAACACCTCGAGAAGTGTAACGAAAGCCCGCATCGGAAAGAATAGTTCTGGTTTACCAAGGAAAGACAACAATGCGTATTTTTTACGTCTGGGGTCCGAAGACAGCAGCCACTTTATAATACCAGCCCCTCAGCGCTCTCCTTTCCCACCCCTCTTTCAGATGCGAGGTACGGCAAGGTTTTTCGGGGACCGAGAGTGATTAGTTCTTCTCCTCTTTCGTCCCATGATTGATCTGTCGTATCTAAACCAAGAAACCCGAAGGAACCATGGTCCGGGCCCTGTGAGTGGTACGCTTTCAGGGGTGGTACCCTTATTTTCCACCGGGATCGCGTTCACGAATAATAATGCAGGTATCATGACTAAGACTTACCTGGAAGACCCAGTCCACTCCGTTGCGCTCTTCCGCCAGGATCAGGTCTAAGCCCGATCTACATGCTCCAGCACATAATGAGGGGTTTACCGTAATGTAGGGTGGTTTTGGACACCAGGAATGGAAGTTAGCGCGCTTGCTTGGGTGGCTCAGATTGTTCATAGATCGGCAAGTTCTCTCTGAACGTCGTGCAGCCACTATTTCGGCATTTCCACGAAGGAGTACGGATACTGCAGTAGCATCTGTGGTTGGCACCATCGTCATACACCAAGGCAGAACAGTTTTGTCGTTGGGGCGCTTCCCAGTCACCCCGCATCTGAAAATTTTCTGTGTCATGAATCTTAACACAGGACAAGTCACCTTATGCTCAAACAAGACCAGATGCCAGTGGCCGTACAAACCAATTGCACCTATGCTTCCCGTTCCGTTGTCCTGTAGGAGGAAAGAATTGACTTGATGAAAATAGTTGCAGAGAAGGTCCAACAAAACTGCAAGTTTGTCCAGTCCTCTTCGTGGCTCAAATCGCCTCTGCCCGCGATTTCCCTCGGAAGGCCAATAACAAAGCTCCGTCTTATCTTTCCTACCAGTGTTTGTGCTTTCTAACGCATGAACGCATAGCTCGCTGCTAGCCTGATCTTGGGCTTTCCGGAAGAGCATGATACTAGGTACTCTCGGCCACCCGCTCTTGTTGGGTCTATCCCAGGTACACACAATAAGGCAGGTCTTCACAACCCGACTGGCTTTAACCTGTTGATCGAGGTTTCTCATATTCGGCGATGCAGTATGAAGCATCTGTCTATAGTAGCTGGTGCGCGTGTTGCTCTAGAACGAGAACCAGTCTTGAAACATGTGTTCCTGGTGTAAAATCCAATATCGCGTGTCACAGGTCGATCCAAAGACGAATCCTCAAGTTAATCTTTCATATGGTTTATGTGGACATTGTCTACATAGTACCTATCCAAGGTTATGGACGTACCCATGAGTCAGTGGGATGCCGCTATCGTTTTACGGGGAAAGAAAGCTGGCCCCGCAGGAAATGCGGGGTTAATCCAACCGCAAAAACGGGGTGTGAAGTAACAATGATTATTCCAGCAATGTGAGCACCAAATATTCTTCAGGTGCCCGGACAACGTTCTATTGAAAAAATATGGATGGTACTTGGGGTAAACCTAGTCCCGTAGATGTTCTGATGAGGCTATTTATTGATATGCAATTGCCCGAAACTCTGCTCGTCCGGCCTATCACACGGAAGCACATCGTGGTGGATCTGACCCCTCGGCGATCGCAGTCGAAGCGAAGTATATAGAGAAGCCCCAAACTGAGAATGAATCCTACGCCCGCCTGCATTCCCGAGCGGAAGCGAGCTAGTGGCCATCTCCGGTCCACCAAAGTCAAGGGGTCAGTCAACGCCACCAGCTGTGCAATCGTTACATCATCGGCACCAAGAAAGTCATCTCGGGCTGTCTGGCAAGATCATTTCCATGAACGGGCTATTGACAACTTACAAACTGGGTGATTATTTTGAAGACCTGGCCGAATAGAGGAAGAGAAAGGACTTGGGGGGGGGGGGGGGGGGGGGGGGGCTGCCTTGATGAAGGCCATCCGCGATATCGAACTGCTGCATCACTTACTGCGTTCAATACCGACAGTTCATGGAGGGAGAATACGATTCCGAACGAAGACATGGCCGGTCTCGTTGGGACGCCCCTCATTTCGGGCGGCAGAAACCCTACTCTGGCGGAACTTCTGCCAGCTGCTTGAAATGGAGGTGACCTGAGCGTGGGCGCCATGTGCATTTGGTGGTATAAAGGCACAAACAAAACATGGCACTTCACACTGGGACGGGAGAGTGCTCTCGTGGATGACGGGATCCCGTTTGAGCTGCATTTTTGCCGGGTGATTATTGACGAGGGGCCGCCCGGCTGCTCGGCGCAGGCGGCGTGGGCGGCGTGGGCGGCTTGCGGCTTGCGGCTTGCGGCTTGCGGCTTGCGGCTTGCGGCTTGCGGCTTGCGGCTTTGATTGATTTCCAGGCCATCACAGAGGCTTTGGAGACGGAGAACGTTTGGATTGGAAAAAGCAACAGGAAATGGGGCCACCCAAGCCCTCTTCTCCGGAGGAAGCCGCTTTTTCTCTCTAACAATCTGCTTGTAACATATTATTAGGTATGTATTATGCCAGGTAGGTGCAAGCGAGTGAGCTGGAAAGGGAGTTGGTTGTAGCCGACAGTGATATCAGATCCGGGATGCTCCTTTCTTTCTTTGATGTACCTACGCGAGAAAAGCGACAAACGCGTGTAATTCCCCCCCTTTTTTTTTCTCTTTCTTTCTTTTGGATGGGGCAACTAACGCAACCCCTTCCCGCCGCTGCCCAAACTTCGTTACCTGGTCTTGATTGCGCCCTCGATTGTTCTTGTTCAGTCTCCCCTGATTACAGTAAGGCCGCTGTTGTTAGCGCTGCCACATCGATAACGATAAGAGAAGAAGAACCCCGCGATACTTTTCCCAACACCCACCCAAACCTCGCAACTTCCCCCTCTTCCACCCGGCGCGCTTTGCCAGTCCTGCTCAACAACGGAACACCCTCTGCCCAGGCCACTCTGCAATTCACACAACACAAGTACCAGCATTTCACACGACTTCTTTTTACCAAGCAAGACTCGCAAGTCTTAGCCATGTCGTCCATGACCACTAACGGCACCAACGGTGACGCCAGCGCCAATGCCGAGGTGGACATCCAGAGTAACCCTGCCTTGGTCTCTGCAGCCTCGTCCTGCTAACCCTAGCTAACTTTTGTTCGTAGACCTGGGCTTTGTTGCAACTCCCAAGGTGGAGGGGGAGTGGACAGTCGAGAAAGCTCTGGATGCCTCCCCGGGGACTGCGACCTCGGCGGGCTCCAGCTCACCGCTCCCGTACTTCCACATGATTGAGCGTCTCAAGACGACGAAGCGCGAGGGCTGGCGACGCTTCGGCATCGAAAGGTATGTAATTACTTGCCCCCTTGAGTTGTTTCCAGTTGCATTGTCCATTGCTTACCGATGCATCGGCGTTGATAGAGGAGAATCCATTGCCGACCACATGTACCGCATGTCCCTTCTGTCAATGCTTGCGCCCCCGGCCCTCGTGCCTCGGCTCGACCTCGCCCGTTGCATAAAAATGTGTTTGATACACGACATGGCCGAGTCCCTCGTCGGTGACATCACGCCCGTCGACGGCGTGCCCAAGGCGGAGAAGAACCGCCGTGAGGCGGACACGATGGACTACATCACCAAGACGCTGCTCGGCGGCGTGTATGGAGGCCTGGCCGGTGCTGAGATCCGGGAGATCTGGCAGGAGTACGAGGACTCGAAGACGATCAACAGCCACTTTGTGCACGACCTGGACAAGATGGAGCTGCTTCTCCAGATGATGGAGTACGAGAAGCGTGGCCAGGGTAAGCTCGACCTGGGAGAGTTCGCTTACGTCGCCACAAAGTTCTCGCTGCCCGAGACCAAGGAGTGGGCCGAAGCGCTACTCAAAGAGCGGGAGCAGTTCTGGGGTGCGCAGGAGCACGTTCACGGCGAGGCGGGCGTTGAGGGTGGTGTCAAGGTAGACAGGAAAGAGCAACAGGACAGCTACTACGAGCGAAAATGATACGACAGGTTGGAGGGGGGGGAGGCTGTAGAGAAGTTGGAACGAAGGACTTGTGGGCATAATGACGGACAGAGAGAATGACGAAGCGGCACTGCATACACGATTTTCTTTATCATCACTTTTTTTTTTTTTTTTTTTTTGCGCCAATGGAAACAGTGGTAACGTTCTGAAGGCGAATGGGTTCAGGGTTCTAACCCAGGCAAAAGATGGAGTGACTGCATACCGATTGCATTATTATGGCTAGACTGGCTTCATAGAATCTCAATTCAACTCATTCAGGAGTCAAGGTGTCATTAAATCCTACCTAGGTGCTCCGTAGGTTGGTTGCTATTGTCACCCAGACACGGCAGCGGCACCGGTTGTGGTGGTGGCCCCCTCTATTTATTTACATTGGCATAATCGCGCTAACGGATGTCACGCTTGGGCCCCTCGGGGGCCAAGTACCCGGGCAACCAACAACGCGCTCCCCTTCTTGGAGCTGGAGCGACAGAACGAGAAACTGTCTCATGGCCGAGGCTGTTTCTTTTGTTGGTTCTTGTTTGAATCATCTCTACACCTGTTGTCTCGAGGCCAAAAAGCGCTGCAAACCCTGAGGCAAGGTGATGGTAGATGGCGGGTATTGACACCGACACACTGCCAGGTGGCATTGATGTGAAGTGCAAAAAAGCGGCCCGGGTGAACTGGCATTGACATCGATATTAACACGACTGACACGACGCCACAATACTACCTGAGAAGGCACCGTAACATCCTTCCATTCCAACCTCCTCCGAAGCTTTCAAGTCCGTCCGCCATTATTACATACTTTGGGGGTTTGTTTTGCTCTAGCCTCCCTGAACTGCTCGATAATCGCAGGAGAGAGCATGCCTTGAGACCGTTTACTGGCCTTCCCCCCTTTCTAGTGTTTCTTTTTTCAGCTTCTTCTCTTCCTCCCCTCCCCTCTACCTCCTGTGACCTCTTCTCGCGTCACTTTCCGTCCGTATCTCTCTCTCTCGTTACACGTCGTCATCGTCGTCATCTTTACCATCCCATTATCCCTTGCGTTATTGTTGCAAAGCAGACTCGACGTCACCCAAGGCGCCAACTTCAAGGCGCACGTTGCTTTCCCTCTCACTCACCTAACTCGTGTCCGTCCTTATTGTTAGTCCGGGTCCATCCCGACGTCCCCCTTCAGGGTCTCGGCCTGTCTACACAGACCTTCTCTCCCAGCCCAATTCACCCGTCAGCGGCTCTTGCCGGCACTTGGAGCTCTCGCCGCACGGATAACTTGGGCGTGACTGCCCACCATCAAATCTCAACGCCTACTTGCCAACGCCAACGCCAACGGAGCTTGTTGCCTGCCGACAGCTACTCCCTGCAACCGCCTCCACCAACCAAGGGAGAGAGACCCACGCAGTGTATTCCTCACCAACCTCTCTACAAACAAAAATCTGTCTGACCGCGGCGCACTTCTCCAACCAGCTGTATCCGAAAAGGCACAACACACACATACACCCTCCTGTGATCACGCGCCGCTTCCCAACCCGGCAATCCGTCTTCTGCGCCACCTCCGCTTGTCATCAATCGCCTTGTCAGGCTGCCAGCGCCATTTCGTAGCCGCTTCATCGCACAGCCAGTCGCGCGACGGTTCAATAAGCCAATCCGTCACCATCATTTCGTTACCAACGTATCTGAGACACGACCCAATCCTTCCCTTGGGCACTTGCCTGTGGATCAATCATGAGCTTCCTCTAGAGCTCTGCGACATTGTGAACCATCGCCCGCGCCTGCTCCCGACCCCGATGATCCCTTCCGCCGCCGAACCTGCGACATCTTGACCCTCTCTCTACACCTCACTCCCGAGCCATCCGACGTACCTCCCCCCCCCCTAACGCCTTGGCACTCGACGCCCTGCAAGACATCTACAGCATGGCCTTCAAATCACAATACAGGATGCCAGGCGCCTATTTTGACGCTCAGCCCGGCGGAGTCCATCCCGGAGTCTTCCGGCCCCCAACCTCTCCCTCCACGGGATCTTCCTATTGCTTTGCGAGAGCCAACAGCTATCACTCAGAAGCAACAACACCTCTCGCCCAGGCCAAGCGGAAACGCCGAACCGATGCCTCGCGCGAGGCTACACCGCTGCATGAATGGGCCGATGGGACCATGAACCTCGACAGCTCCAGCGAACTACCCACCCACGAAACCCCTCTGCCCATCCGAGGAGCTCGGTACACCCTAGCCGGCCAGCTCGAGACCCCGGGTGCTGCTCCCAACACGCCATTCGACAACGGCACGCTGGATGAGAGCATGTATTCTGACACCGACTACCGAAAGGCCCTAGGTTCGAAGCGACCTCATGAAGAAATAGAATCACATGTGCCCGGTCAGCCCACTATGCTGGTCCCACCCAGTCAACCAGTCTCGGGTGGATGGAGCCGCTTTGCCTTGAACACCATCGGAGATGTTGTCGGCAAGGTATGGGAATTTTGCAAGGCCGGAGCTTTTAGAGGCTTCACTGCCGGAGGCGGCAAAGCCTACACCATTGACGGCCAAACTCTTCCCGACCCTGCACCTGCTCAAGCAACAGGGCCCGTTTCCAGACCCGAACCTGAAGCAGAGCTATCTGAAATGTCGAACGAGAAGACGAACGGTTGGGGACAAGCGACCCCCTCGCGCATGGACATCCCTACTCCCGATACTGATAGCACCTTGCCGGGCGGGTTTCCCCGCCCAGACTATACATTCTACAGCCGCGAGGCCCCCAGCCCTTTCAGTCTCGCTCCGGAGTCCGCGTCCTCGCGGCCGGCTGTGAAACGGAGGCAGACGAGTGCGAGTAACCAGGACGAACTGCGCAACTGGGTTGTGGTTGACGAGTCGGGAGCTAGCACGAGGCCAGTATCAAGAGCATCGATGCGGTCAGTATCTCGGAACACGCGCCCGTCCATGGTGACCGGCCGTAGGATTAGTGTTCCGAAGCCTCGTCTTAGCTCAATCCCGATACATAACCGCCGACAGTCTACGAACCGCGACGATCTCGTGGCAGAAGCCGCGCCGCTGTCGTACCGCGAGCCTGCGAGTTTCGCCAGTGTCCGATCGCCGGAGCCTCCTAGGTCCCTGACGGGCCCGTCGCCGAGTCGGATCCCTCTTCCCATCCAGTCGGCCGGCTCGAGCCCGAACCCCTTTGCGAAGACAAGCTCATCAACCAGGCGGCAAAGCGGTATCCCTTCGCCTGCAGCACAGTCTGCCTTCACCCCTCCGGTGCGGTCTCACCGTCGCTCCGACAGCAGTGCCTCGGCTGCGTCACCCCGCGGCAAAGTAAAAGAGTTTGGTGTCAATTCCATTCGAGAAAGTCCACGGCTGGACGCGGAGGCGAAGAGACTGGCCGCGCGGAGGGTCAGGGACGAGCAGGACACGGACGCACGTATCAACGATTTCAACCAGAGACTGAAGGAGATGATTCGCCAGGGCAGGGAGGCACTGGGTACGAGAGTCGAGGTGGATGGCGACGTTGGCGGATGGGAGGATGATTGATTGTGACTTTGTTCTTGATTTTGATCTGCTTCTTGCGGCGTTTTGCTGTATATAATCTGGGTTGGGTTGCTAATGGCGAGGAGTTTTACGGAAGAATTGTTCGCGCACGATACGATCCGCCATATCACATGCGTGCGCCCAAAGGGCCAGGGAGGGGGTTTGGATTGGCATGAGTTCGGAGTTTGCAAAAAGTGGACAAGGTCACTTGAAGGGTAACTCAAGCCTTGCGTACGACTGTTACAGGCAGTTCAATACCTGAATCCAAGAAATGATTCATACTACTACAGTGGGCCCGACCCTGATCTTCTGCGCATCCTGCTTCGTGTCTCGACCCGATGTGTAACCAAACACCCCACCATCACTGTTCACTCGACCATTTTGTCGAAGCCTAGCTAAGCAAGCAAACCAGATGACTCCTCGTCGGCTAAAGCTCCTCGTACCCGGGTTTGAATGGCGATGTCGCTGGCGGCAGAAACGAGTGTAGATGAATATAGTCGACTACGGATTGAACGCGACGTTTTTGCCGAAAATGGCCTCGCCATGTATGCTGTTACCCCATGCCATGGCCGCCTCCAGGTACTCGTAGTTCAGCTCGCCGTTGGGGTATACTGGCGGCTTCAACGGGGGGAAGACGCGCTGGCGTTTCGCGTGGCACCGCGTGCAGACGTCCTCGTCACCCTTGGCGGCCTTGTCCATCTCGGTGCGGCAGGCCTGGCAGTGCCTTGTGCAGAAGAAGCGCGGGCAGTCGAAGACGGCGCACTGGCGGTCCATGGGCATGTGACCGATGGTCAGGTGCTGGTGGCCGCAGCGGCACGTCTTGAGATGGCAGTCGCGGCCGGCGTGGCCGGGGATGCCGCACATGCAGCAGCGGGACTTGCACATCATAGCAGTGACGAGGGGGCCGGAGTGCGGGGCGGGACACTCGCCCGGGTTGCACATGACGGGGCACCTCTTGGCAAGGTGCCTCTGCGGGAACGGGCGGCAGCGGCAGCGGTTGCGCTTGGAGCTCGTGCAGGCGGTGACCGCGTGCCAGTCCTGGCCGCAGTGGCCGCAGGGGTGTTGGCAATCATCCGTCCTGTGGAAGAGGTCGAGGCAGTTGCGGCATGGGTGCGTCTGTTTGTGCCGTCGCCTGTTGTTGTTGTTGTTGTTGTTGTTGTTGTTGTAGAGATGCTGGAGATATGCTTCTGGTGCGTCGGGCAGCAGGGTCCGTAGGAAACTTTCTTCCACCTGCGAGCTTTCGCTCTCCGGAGAGCCAAAGACCATGTTGTTGTATTCTCGGAAGACGGCTGAGAGGGTTCGGGAATGAGTGGTTAGACTTGCTTTAATAGAATACCGCTCAAATCGATGGTGTACTCCAACTATTAAGTCGTGGTGGAGATTATCCAAGCATGTCAAGTCAGCCTGCAGAAGACACTTGAATTGCCGACATAAAGAAGCAGCACTTCACATCCCCCGCCAGCGACATGAAGTAAGCAGTGCTAGATCGACTGGAAGTGTCCGCGCATAGCTTTCCCAAAGTGCAGGCAAATTCGTAGTTTGGCAATTAATCAACTGTTAACTTCGCTGAGGCAGGTAAGGTTACGTGCCAACCAATCAATCAGTGTGCGCAAGGTAAGGTTCGCGGGTGACTATTAACTTCTCACCAAAACACAACGAGGGGGGGAGGGGCAATGCGCACGGTGCGATGTTCCTGGATGCAAATAGTCATATAGGGTCGTCATAGGTGGGTAGGTACAGTATCGATATATCAGTACACTGTACTGTCAGTGCTTGAGCAGACTTCTCGCTACGCCATGCCATGCTTTGCCCTCCTGTCGAGTAACCATCCATCTCTTACACTCAGAACGACCTTCGAATTTTGCCATTCTTCTATCCCATCTCTCATTCTGGTCAAAAAGTCGAACTGGTGCTTCATGCACGCAGGCAATGCCGGAATCTTGCTACAGCAGTCTCTCCCTGCTCTCTGCCTTGGTGGTCGATATGAATCATCACAGCTTATGTTCTCTAAGAAAGACGGCTGCAACAAGCCCAAAAATCGATGAGATGAGTGAGACGCCGTGACTAAACCCCAGACCCTCGACGTAGGACTGGACAATCGCTTTCGAAATACCACTGTCAGTGTGCTCAATGTAGTCGACGCTCGATGTCGCTTTCTCGATTATCTGTAGCGCTTCACGTCAGAAAAGAATGACTACCGGGGTACTGAGTATACCCGTCTTACCTTCTTCCTAGTCACCGCTTCCAGATCCATGGCCTTTAGCAGTGTATCCAGCCTCCACTTCATCGTCTCCATCATCACCGCACTCGCGGACGCGAGGCCGAGGATCATACCAATCTGGAACGTCAAAAACATGCCCGACGTCACAGCCGCCTTGTGCTTCGGGTTCACCGCAGCTTGAATGCTGATGAATCCCGCCGACTGCACGAGACCGGCCCCGAAGCCGCCAGGCACAATGTACAGCGACTCCCACACATTGGTGTCTCCATGCCATCGAAGGAGCAGGAGGATATAGGAAACTAACGACGCAATCGTAGCAATTATGAGAAGATACTTATATCGACCGGTCCTAAATCGAGTCAGCGGCCCTCCGTATTCCTTTTTCTGGTTTCAACCTACTTCCTGATGAGGTATCCCGCGAGCACCCCGCCAATCGCATTGCCAGCGACCGCTGGGAACAGATGCATGCCGGCAATGGTGTTCGAAACTCTTTGAGTGATCTGGAAATACAGCGGCACCGAGAACATGAGACCTAGCTGAGCAGCTATCTGGGCTCCGCAGATGATGTATGTAAGAACAACGTCGCGATGCCTCAACAACTCCAGCGGGAAGATGGGTTCCTTGGCCCACCACTCCTCGGTGGCGGCAAACAGCCCGCCGAGCACGACTGCCGCGCCAAACAAGACAAATATGAGAGGATGTGACCATGGTATCTTGGTGCCTCCGATCTCAATCGGCAGGAGAAAGGCCAGGACGAAGAGTGACAGCAGCGTCGCGCCCAAGATGTCAATTCTTGCCAGGGAGTTCTTTTTCGTGTCACCTGGCTTTGGGCCTACCTCCTCGGCCGTTTCGTCTTTCGCAACGTGCTTTCCTTCGGGCAAGAAGAGCCAGCACAACAGAACCGCAAACAAAAAGATGGGGGACTGTCCAAGAAAAGACCAACGCCATCCGATGGTGTCGGCGAGCCAACCACCCACAGGGCCGCCGAGACTTCTACCGATCGTCGCAGCTAGATTCACGCCAGCTTGCCAGGCAGCTACATCACGTAGTGGGACGAGATCTGCCCGGGGATTAGTCTGAGTTTTTGAGGGACGACGTTCGAATTGCACAAACCTGTTATCAGAAGCAGTCCAAGTACGTTTAAAGCTGAACCGCCTGATCCCGATATCACTCGACCTACAACGACTTGCCACATTGTGCGGCCTACACCGACCAACGCGCTGCGGAATTGTGAGCTAAGCCTCAGGAAGTTTCAACGGTATTAGACCTTACCATCCAATAGCAAACAGTGTGTAGGCCACCATGAGCAGGGCACGGCGACCATAGATATCACTGAGCCTGCCATACTGTTCGTTGTCAGCTTGCGAGACTATTTGATCTTTGACCAGAAGCCTACCAGCGTCTGTGTTGCCGCTCCCGCCAGCGCAAAAGAGACAAAGAGCCAACTCGAGTTCTCCAGGTCATCAAATTCTGAGGCAATTGTGGGATGCGTAGCCATCACCAAAGAACTATCGGCGTTGGCGGTTAAAGTTCCAATCAACAGGATCGCCACAATCTTGATGACGACGGCCGCCGGTACCCCCTTGCCTGTCCGTTTGACATCGTCGGCGGCGGCGGCAGGCGCGACTTGTTCGATGTCGACGCATGCACCATCGACAACTGTTGCAGGTGTAAGATGCCATGGGACAAGATGGTCATCCGAGTCTCCGGTGGAAGACGACGTCAAGGAGCTCTCACCTGACGAACTCAATTCACGTCGAATATTCGACAGCAACGGCGACCTCTCGTGGACCAGCCGCGCTGTGTCTTGATCATCAGGGAAGGATTTCTGGCGCGTCATGTCGATTCAGTTGGGATGCGAGGGGGAGTATAGCAGAGCCGCAAACTGATGGATCGAAGAAAGAAGGTGTCATTAGTTTTTAGACTTTGATGCAGCTTAGGTTACCATCCCAGGATCCGGGGGATAGCCTTGCAAGTTTCCCGTGAATAGAGGGGACATGTCGGCATCGGCCAATCAAGCGTGACATCATCTCCAATCTATTAACGCCACCGGCCATTGAGTCAATCGAAGCTCAGAATCTTACCCTTGGACGAGATGCAAAACCTTCCCGATAAGGGGATACAGGTTCGGGGGACCCTGCCATTGCGACACGTTGCGCCATCCCCCGATGCGACTTCGGACCCCCCTCGGGCCCCCACACGGACGGGAACACGGCCAGGACCGGTCGATTCGCCGGCCGCCTACGCGGCAAGTTCTACACAAAAGCGCGTCCTAGGCGTGACAAGATGTTTCAAGGTGGTGATTGGTATTCTTTGCCTTTTCGGCGAAATTTTTGCTTTGCCAAACTCCTGGCCGTAAATGAGGGGGAGGAGGCTTGATGCACAGGACCCGAGGAACTAGGTAGTTCGCTGCCAGATCGGCTCGTGCTTCGGCAACTCGGCTCTGCTGTACTTTCGGGTCGGACTTTGGAATTAACCATAATTTGAGCCCGTGACGCAGCTGATTTGTGTTTCTGGAACTCTGCCGATTATTCTACCACCGTTGCGGTACCGAGAACGTCAGTGCCATCGGTGAACTTCGCGTCGCGAGTTTCTGGAGGAACACTGGCCAGATCCGACTTCGCCGCCGCCGTTTAATTTACCCGTTCGACTCGCTTGAATACACACAAGATGTGCATTCTAGACACGCCTTCTCTGCATGAAAGAGACGGGCGTGGGTTAGCTAGTCAAACATCGGACTGATGTTGTTTCATTTAGACATGACTTTGTCATGTTCTCTAATGTTGCTGTGATTGATCAGCCACTCATCCGACATTCTGTTGCACCTCAGCTAAGGCGAAACCAAATGTCGCCCCATTCATTTCAGATCCCATTGTTTGACATGAGGAAGTTCTCGGCGCCGAAAAGATGCCGTTTTTGGTTTGTACCTGATTCTGGCGGCCGACAAGCTGCTTGAACTTGAGGCGAGTGAGGTGTCCCGTTGTATGGCTACGTTGCAGTTCGGATGAAGCGGTGTAGCAATCACGCGCAAGGCCAGTGAACACATCGGTTGTGGGTGGGAATCGATCCCGTTCAATTGCGAAATTGAAACATGACACCGCCCATCCTTCAGAGCCGTTCACTTCTACCGCTATATGTCTCAACCATTTATTCAAATCTTGCCGATTCGTAAAGCAGGCATACTGACTACTTCATACAGGTGTGGGAGCAAACTGGTTTTCTGGAGCCCACACGGTTTTGTCTCTACCTTAGGTTATGGTATACTGTATATTACATGAGACGCTTAAATTGACTTCGATCTCCCTGTTTCTATGGACTCTGGCACATGGGCTCCCGTTTCTTACAATTCAAGCTTCTCTTCAACCTTCAGACCACCCACTGCTGTGTGCCCTGACTCGTGAGACAAGATTAGCATCTCCTGGCGATTGGGTAACCCTTCCTGCCTACACACATAAGTACCTCTGACTCACGACTGAGCTCATTCTGAACCCAATTTTATAGAACGTAAAGTCTGTCCTGTGCAGTGACAGAGACTACAACGTAAATCTCTCCTTGACCATGCAGCATCTAGTCTGCGCTTCGCTAGGTACTCCCACATGAGCGCATTTGGCGACGATCTCAGAGCCCAGATGCATTTTCTTCCAGTGCGAAATCTCCTGTGACAGAGGCTTTGCATTGTTCTTTCTAGAATGCAACTTCTGGCCAGCGATGTCATTCCCAAATGTAAGGTTACTATGTTTTTCCAATCTTGTAATGTATACTCTTAGAAGCTAAATAGAAAAGCATAGTTCTTTTTTATTCATCAACGTATGAGGAAGCTCTAGAAAACCGCTCATGTTTTTTTATACAGAAAGCTAGATAAATCATTCCATCTGCCTTCTTTGAATTCTCCAAGCTACCTTCACGTAACCGTCGCCTTAGTATTGACGGACCTTTGTCTTGATTAAGATTGACGCCACCACTACTAACACTACAGCCTCGACTATACTGTTCTCGGAAAACGGCGATCTCTAGGTGCAGCTAACCTCCTCCCACTCCGCCTTATAACACCTGTATGCGGGGCAGGCCTGATTGGCTCCCGAGAGCATCAAGAGGCAGCGCTTATTTAGCTTGATGGCTGTATTTGATGTGACCCCGAAATTTGTCCCAGTCCAAACGAAGCTCCGTCGTACCAGGCACTCACACCAGTGCCTCTGCAACTTCTGTTGGCGTCGACATAATAAGTGCTGGGGCCTGTGTAGAATATAGCATTCTTGCTGTCCCAAATGCTAAAAGGGCCACACTCCGCAAAGACCGTCATTGTATCGTCAGTGCTAATAGTTGCGAGGGAAGCAACGAGAATTGTAATGTCAAATCGCATTTGGTAGTCTCAAAGTGAGAAGTATACAAGGTAGAGAGTCTCAATTGCAGCTCAATTTAAAACAGAACTTCTAAAGCACGAACTGATGTTGAAGACGATACTTTTCGTAGGAATACCGACTGCGACTCTAATATGAGTAAAATTGGCATGCTGATTCGACTAGTGATTGATAAGAAGATGCTTTTAGGAGCGAGGATATTTCCAGGTTTTATGACTCTGTATTTCGATACCGTCTGGGCTGTAGTTTCGGGTGTGCTTACTGACATTTATCGTCGGCATTGTGTTTAATAATCTTGAAGACAAATGGACGGTGAGATGGCGAGATGGTGAAATAGGCAGTTACTGCCAACAGCAGATCTATAACGCCTTACTATCTCAAGTGGTCCTCTTGACCTCCATCGTTAAGTTCAAACTCTGACCAGTACCTATAAATTCCGTCAATGGGATGCATAGATGTCTGGATACCTCTATGGTATTTCTTCCGAAACCTTATCCCTTTGAGTGCCAGGTGACCCCATTTCTGCCAAGGGCGGGGTAAAGCCAATGCATTTGCAGCATTAAGTCCGACAAGCCAATAGTTTTATAGTACCTCTATTTATATAGCGTTTTGCCTATGCCATAAGTACTAGTAATCTCTGCCTTTACAAAGGGGTACATTATAGTCTAAGTAGCCCTGCTAGGTCTTCTGTTACTATGCTTACCTATTACCAGTGTATTAAGGAAAAATACAAAATACAATACAAATACAAAATACAAATACAAAATATAAATACAAATACAAATATATGTATTTGTATTTTGCTAAGAAATACAAAAATACAAATACATGTATTTATATTTTAAATACAAATACATGTATTTATATTTATATTTTATTACAAAAATACATTTTTTTTACTAATTATATAAAATATAGAAAAATTATACTTAAGTAAGTTAGTATTTACTATATATAGAACTAGTGTATTTTCTTAAGAAATATAACTAGTTAACTAGTATATAAGGGAAATACTTTTTTATTTCCTAAAAAAATAGTTTAAAATAAATATAGTATTATTAATTATAAAAAAGTCCTAAAATTAGGAATAAATACTATAAATATAATAGTAGTAGTTTTTAAATACTATAGTTTATTATATTAAGTATATAGTATATATTACTAACTAAAGCTTAAGATAAAATATAAAATATTAATATAAACTAATAATAAATAGTATAATAACCCTAGATAAAAAGACTAACCCTAAAAATAAAGTCTTAACCTTAGCCTTAACCCTAACTATAGTATAACTTTTAGAAATATAAAATTATATATATATTAAATAGTATATTAATAAAAAATAAAATATTTAATATAAATATAAAATATAAATATAAATATAAATATAAATATAAATCTATATATTTATATTTTAATATAAGTAATATAAATTAAAAACTAATCTTAATATTTTAGAAATATAAAGTTAACTATACTATAACTTTAGAAGTATAACCCTAAGACATTTAGAGATATATTTAAAGTACTAACACTAAATCTACTATATTAAAGTATATTTTATTAAATAGTTTCTTTTACTAAGTAAAATACTTAAAGCTTTCTAGAAGTCTATAGACTTTAAGTTATATATATAAATAATATATAATACTACTAACTTTACTAGTTACTACTATATATATTAATCTCTAATATTAAGACTTCTTAGTCTATTACTATAAAATACTTCTAATAAAATAGTATTAATATAGTAATCTTTTACTTTATTAATATTATAAGTAGGTATATTATTTATATTTTCTTCTTCCTACTTATTATAGCTATAGTTAATACTACTCTCTATAGTATTATAAATAAAGTTCTAAATAAATTAGTTAAATTCTAATATAATAGTATTTATAGAATATAAGTTATAGAATAATACCTTAAAGTCTTTATAAGTAGAATTATCTTTATTTAGTATAATATTATTATATACTCTAAATAATAGTAGTTTAATACTATTTAATATAAGTTATTCTTTATTATTTATAATAATATTATATAGTATAGTATAAGGGTTAAATATATTAGTAGTATTAATACTAAACTGTTCTTCTTTTTCTAGTTGTTTATATTCTTCTTTTTCTAAGTCTTCTAAAAGTATAGAATATATAGAAGATATAAAGTTATTAGTAGACTCTATTAGGTCTACAATATCTATTACTGTAGTTATATTATTATTATTAATATTAGTATTAATATTAATATAGTTATTAACCTCTTCTTCTAGTTCTATATATTTTCTATAGTAGAAAATACTTAGAGGTAAAGATAAAGTCATTTTATAAGATCTAAAGTATAATATATATATATTAGTATAGTAATTTTTATAGTTTTAGATTTATTAAGAAAGATAATATTAGCTTTTTATAACTTACTTTAAAATATAGTGTTAAATAGTTTTTAATATAAGGAAGTTAAAAAGTTAAAATACTAGATTTATTTACTAGTAACTTACTAGTAGTAAGTTACTACTAGTAAAAAAAGTTACTTAGTTAGATAAGTGTTTAAGCTAATAAAGAAAAAGAGAAAATATATTACTAGTAAGTCTATAGTAAAGTATTTATAATAATAAAGTTCTAAGTATATATATACTAGTAAGTATAAGTATAATCTTATAATTATATATATAACTATATAATTATACTTATAACTATATAACTATACTTTTAGCTATATAACTATACTTTTAACTATATAACTATACTTTTAACTATATAACTATACTTTTAGCTATATAACTATACTTATAACTATATAACTATATATATAACTATATAACTATACTTTTAACTTTAGAACTATATTTTTAACTATATAACTATATTTATAACTATATAACTATAATTTTAACTATATAACTATACTTTTAACTATATAACTATATTTAACTATATAACTATATTTAACTATATAACTATACTTTTACTATATAACTATACTTATAACTATATAACTATATATATAACTATATAACTATACTTTTAACTTTAGAACTATATTTTTAACTATATAACTATATTTAGAACTATATAACTATAATTTTAACTATATAACTATACTTTTAACTATATAACTATATTTATAACTATATAACTATATTTATAACTATATAACTATACTTCTACCTATATAATTATACTTATAGCTATATAATTATACTTTTAACTATATAACTATACTTTTAGCTATATAACTATACTATTAACTATATAATTATAATTATAACTATATAACTATACTTTTAACTATATAACTATACTTTTAACTATATATCTATATTTATAACTATATAACTATACTTATAACTAAATACTTAGTAGTTAAGTAGTATATACTAAAAAAAACTTATCTTTTTTTAACTTAATAATAAAACTTTTTTTTATATTAGAAAAATTATTTTCTTTAACTTATAAGAATAAGTTTTTCTTTTTATAATTTGTTTTTTTTAATCTAACTACTGTTTAATCTACTATAGTACTGTCATAGTTACGTATATATCTACGTAACTGCCAAGAGAAAATACTCTATTCTTCTTATTTACACGTCATAGATTTACTCTTTAAAATATTAAAAAATAGAAAATATTAGATATATATATACCTAGAGATTTCTCTTCCTTAAAGGTATTTAGAAGTAAGTCTTTTTAATATTATATTCTTTAGGGTATAATAGATGAAATTATACCTCTTTCTTACTTGTTGGCCACTGATATAGTGGCCTAGCAGGTAATTATCAACCTTATTACCTAGCATCTTCAACAAGATT